GGGGGTCTACTGTAAATAGCTTAGTTAATCACCAAACGTCCATAAGTAATTTCTATTTAAATTTGAAAATAATAATTGATTAATGTAACATGACGTCTTCAACATACAGTAAAACTAAACAATAAACATTTACAGTGCTTGATTACCCCAAAGCTTTGTTTTAGATTAAATCTACACTTACTTGTGTACACAGAATCCTACCTTGATTTAAAAACTCAAATTTATATGAATTTTGTCAAGTTTTCTCCCAATGTTTATCATAAAATTACCTACAAAAATATTAAATAACAAACAGCTGTTAAATTAAGATTATTTATTCTAGTTGTCACTGATATATTTACAAATGCCACAACTATTTCTAATCAGCAGAGGCTATTCATATGTCAGACATACACCACTACTGCACACATCTGTTCTAAATAGTGCCATATTACATTCCTAATCCAGTTACTTTTATAACTCTGATTCACTATATTTTCCCCAGTTATCAAAACTCAAGAACAATAGTTTCACTTGCGATTAATTAAACCGGTTAAGTAAGGCACACAATTTTTATCTCACTTGGCTTGGATGTATTAATAAAAATATTGGCAAAAAATTTTATAAAAATTAAACAAAATTGGGTTTTTAATAGTTTGTTATTTTATTTTCAATTTCAAAGAAGGGAGGCCAAGTTTTTATAGCCAAAAACACTCTCACTAATCCAGTAAATATAGAAAAATGATTTGAACCTTGATTAGTACTCTAGTTTTCTAGGAATAGGCTGCAGAAAATTATATTTTGGTGTCACAGACAGAATGGACAGACAAACAAACAAACAGACAGACAAAAATTGAGATAAACTTGTTTTGGCTTTTTAGGGTATAAAATGTAAAAATAACCAAAAACTACATCATTGCTTAGGTGTACAATCTAAAAATGGTTTTAAAACATGTAACATTATTGCTAAAAAATTTAACACATTTTAGAATTAGGCAACTATTTACTAGTAGGCCTACAATGTTTTGGTTCAAACTATTAGGCCTAGATAACAACTTAGTCTATGTTATCATATTTGTACACGTAAGTTGGACGGTTCAATGACAAACATTTCATTTTAAATATATAAATTAGTTATGAAAGTTACGATGGTTGATGACTGTATTAATTAATGATTTTGGTTTATTACAACATTACGATTAAATCTGTTTTCTGTATTTGAGAACTTGCATGTATTTTAGCTTAATTTCATAGAGGTTTAATTATTTAGTACCAATTAAACTGAATTTTCAATATTTTTTTCATATTCTATTATTTTCTTTTATACTGATAGCATTTATATTTAAGATTAAAATCATAAACATTGATGGCTGTTGTACAGTTAAACAAAAAAAACACTTTTTCAAGATTTTTTTATTGTCTTTGAATTACTTTGGACTAGTTATCTGTTAAAAGTGGAATTGATAACAAAAAACAATAACCTTTACTGTATCTTCATTGTTACCGACATTTTGAAATACAGCAGTGTATGATTATTTTGTCGTACAAGGTTAACAATACTCTGTGCAGTGGGTGCAGCCGGGTAAGTAACTTCCAGAGTTAGCAAATTCCGCCAAGACAAAATCCAGTTAGCGGGTTCTGGAGTTAGCCAATTCCTGACTGAGACGGTTAGCCAGTTCCAGAGTTAGCCAATTCCTACATCTCTGGTTTTGATTTTATTTGGTAATTACAATAGACAAGCTCCTGAGTCAAATGAGGGGGTATTATTCTAGGTGGATACAATTTCAGTCCATATAGATTTTAATCAAACATGGCAAATCTACTTCCTTTCAATTAAGCTATTAATATTTATTAAAAAATATAATTTATTACCTTATCTATAACAACAAACCTAGGTATATGGTCCTTGGTTCTTGTAAACTACATCTCTTTAAATATAACTGTTTTGAACAAAAATAATTCCTTGTATTTTTACCGAGAAATTATAAACTGAATATATTACAAAAGTAAACAAACATTATAAAAACAATATACCATCATCATTTACATCAAAACTTTTTATTGGTTTACAGACTTCAATATTACCTCTTTTTTCAATCTTATAACACAGGATTTTAAAACAAATGAAATAGTAAATTATATATTTGATCTATTTCCACAACATAAACATATTAATGCTCCAAAAACTTGTCTATAAGGAACCTTTTTTGTCTCTGTCTTTGTTTTAACTTCCTTTTCTATCTATAAGTTTTCTAAACCAATTGAAGTTCTTCCACAGTTATAATCATTCATGTTGAATTTCTTTGTTTCTTTATGTAGCATGCTTGACTAAGTAATTGACTAAACTTGTTCCTTCAAAATTTCAAGTCCCAAGTAGTGTGAAACATTCATAGTTTTGATCTTGAATTCCTTATCTATAATTTGATAACATATAAAATAACTATAACTTTTCTTAACTCCTATTGAAAAGGGTATTAAAACCACTTTCTTTTAGACAGTTGCTAAATTTGTCATTCCATTTAACATGACACTTGTATTTCAAGTCATATAAACTTTCCTTCAACTTATAGTATTAACTAGGCTCATCCTCAAAACCCTCTGCTTGTATGTAAATTTCTTCTTCTAAATCATCATAAAGAAATACAGTTAGGACATAGAATTGTTTTAAAACATGTTTTTGTTTGCTACAATGTTTAACATTTATCTCACTGTCCCCATTTTAGCTATTGGACTAAATATTTTATTAAAATCTAGTGTCTTCATTATCATTTCTTTGTACTTACATTTAATCTTGTAAAGACTTATTTTCTGGAAGATATATATCAGGAATAATGTATTCATCTTTATCATCAAATCTTTCAATTATACATATATGTTTTTTTTGAAGAGTTGATTCATTATTTTTAGTTATACTAACTTTGTTTTTCCTAATATATTTTCTCTTTTTTGAAACTCTTTTCCAAACTAAATCTATTTCTTGTTGTAGAAAATTATTAATTAAAAATGAAATAAAGTTTTCAATTTGTAATACATAAATTGGATTTAAGTTTGAAAACTTTGACCTTACAATAAAAAATTTTAAAATATTTTCAATAATTTTCTTTTCCTCTTTAGATTTTAATGTTGACTCCATGTTTATATTAGAGCTCTAAAAAAGCTCTATTTTAATTACCTCTATTGCAACTAAAGTGATCTAAAATGCGTAGTAACTCTTATATCTGGATTTAATTTGTAAAATAAAACAATCAATGTACCATTGATATATCAAATTGATTAATATTTAAATTGTTATAACTTATGTTGTTAGTATTAAATATTGAATCATATTTCAACTAAATATGAAAATATAAATGCACTAAAATAATTGATTGCATAAACAAAATATATTTTTTCTGAATCAAATAAAATTGTAAGTCAAAAATTAAATATTATTAAACTAGGAATATACTTATTGTGCACATAGTTAAATAAATAAACTAAAAATAATAATTTCAATGTGCATAATTATAAATAAATAATTGAAAATTTAATTTAAACCTACATATAGGACAAGTATTATGGCTTTCCAGCCATTCAGCTATACATGTTTTACAAAATGTATGTTTACATTCTAAAATAATATTTTCTTCTGTTACTACCAAACATATTGGGCAGTCAATTCTGGTAAATAAACTAATATAAGTTAGGCAGATTTTATTTTGAACATTTTTACTTATTGAAATCCCCCTTGAAATATATATTTTAAAATCAATTAATCTATAAAATTTAATCAAATCACTTTCAGTTAGGATTTGACATTTTGAAATTGTAGGCCAATGTAATATATTTTTAAATATTTCTAAAAGAAAAGAGTCAAGTTTCTGGTAACCACTTATAAAAAAACCAAAATTCTTTCTATAACATTCTGGACCAGATTCCAATCTTGAATATATTAACATCATTTGGCCACGTGTTAAATTTTGATATTCCAATAGATTTTGCCAGATAAAATTTGTTTTATCATTCATCAATATCCATGTATTAAACTCAGTTGATAACTTTTTATTTTTCAATAATATATTTACATTAAGTTTATTATAATTTTTTAAAAGGTAGGGTTCAGGCACCTCTTGATAACAAATTAAAACATTCCAATCAATTTCATCTTGAAGCTGGTTAAGAACCATAGGAGTTAGGTTTTGGTTTTTAACCAAAAGAATAAAATCAAACTTGTTAAAAAATTTTATAATAATTGTTGTAGGAACATTTTGAAATTTGATTAATTCATTAAAGTCTATCTTGTTTTCAAATGTTGTTATAAACCTTTCAGAAAAACATTCATTTTTATATAATTTTTTCCAATCTTGTTGAGACATTTGTAAAAGTCTCTGTTTAACAATGTTAAACTTTTCTTGTACTATGATTTGGAAACTTCCATCAGAAACCTCATTTTTCAAGGTATTATATAAATGATATATATCTGTTGGGTCATTCAAACTACTAACAAAATCAATAACACCTTTCTCTGTTTTTATTTCATTAACCATTTTCCAAATAATTTTTTTTCTATTAATAAGTGAATTAAATTCTACTCTTAAATTCCTTGCAAAATCTTTTAAATTATTTAATGTTAACCTTTCCATATCTAAATATAAGATGAACAAATAATATAAATACTTACTAGATTGTTTTAAATACTAAACAATAATAACCAACCAATGTTGATTACAAACTAATGCATTAACAAAAATATTAATCCTTTATATAGAGTGAGAAAAATAAAGAAACCTTTACTTTGGGCAAAGTATTATAAAAATACCACTTCTCTAAACCAATTATAATTATATTCATCAATACATCAATATATAAATTCTTAATAATTTGTCACTTTCAACCTATCCCTAATATGTAAACTTGACATAATATAATAGTGGCAGTTAATTTATTTAATTTAAATTTATTTATGTAGTATAAAGCCAAAGTATGTATACAATAGAAACAAGTATTATTCTGTTTTATTTTATCTTATATTATTTTAACAGGTTCAGTACCAGCCTGCTGTTATATCTGGGTTTAGAGTCTCCAGACACATGGGAGTAAATGTGAAGATTAATGTATTTACAAAAATTAGTATAATCTAGTAATTGTATAACTTTACCCTAGTGTTTATACTTATTTGAAATAAATTTTATATTTTTTGTGTTTTTTTCCCCCAATTTTAAATCCATCCAGCAGTTTATGTGTGATTGAACTTTAAACAAACACACATAAAGATGAGTCTGGTGTAGAGTATTCCATTTTATTTAAAAGATTATAAGTTATTTGAGTATTACCTGTTAATGTTTATTTATTTTCTGTTCTTTCATAATGCAATGGACCAATTTAAAATATTTTCCATTTATGATATCATGTATTTCCTGTTCAATCAATGGTATTTTCTTCTTAAATTTTTGCATTATTAGTTTTATCTATTCTTTACTACATTATAAAACTTGCTGTTCCAAATGGTAGGGAAGTGTAAATTCAGTAAAATATAGGGTAACTATTTACCATTAGTGTGACAAATAGACTCTATATGTTTTGTTCTAATTTTAAGTTATAGGAGATCTTCCCATCTAGCAGGCCTAAGCAGCAGTCTCCCTAGTGAACAGTGTTGTGAATTAAAATTTAAAATTAAGCTTAACAAGAAGCATTAATTAACTGGTCTAAAATATTTAGTGGGTGTAAGGTCTCAGGTATGGTATTAAAAACCTACAACCCAATCTTTGTTAAATTAAAAGGCACTTAGCCAAACACAAGGTGTTTTTTGTTTGTTTAATGGCCAGATTACTTTTTAATTAAAATCAACACCTTGTAACCAGTGTAGAGTCAGTGTTATATGTTCTATGTCCTGTTAAATAAATTATTTTCCTAATAGTATATTTATTAACCATTCATTTGTATCTGATTTATTCTTGTCTAATTTTTCTGTCTTTTGTCACACTATTGGTCATCCCTAAGAACTTTTTTAGTCATTTGCTAATCTCTGTGATGCAGTTTACTAAAATATAATTTCAATGAACAACTTAAAATAGGTTTAAAACAAAACAGTATAACACATATTAGTTACTTTCTTGTTAAAAGGAACATTCATTGTTATCAATTTTTTTTTCAATATATTTGTTTGCTACACAATCCATATCTTTCTGTTTTAAAATCTCCAAACACATTTAAATTACAAATTAAGGACTTAGATAACCTTGTTTTTGAAAAAATAAAAACTTATACTGAATTAGAAAATGAAACTAGTCTATTCTAAACTAACTTAACATAAAACAACTAAACTGGCTCTAGAAGCTATGTTAGTGTTTCAAAATTCTGTTTGATAACAGAAAAGATAAATCGGAAAAATGGCTATCAACTGGAATTTTGAAATGTTATAGTAAGTTTGGTTGGTAAAGTTAACTTGTAGTTTTGGAATTTTGAAATGTTATAGCAAGTTTGATTGGTAAAGTTAACTTGTAGTTTATACAGTTTATAACTGACTGATAAAAATACAGCCAGAATAGTATATTTTGCCCTATTCGACAGTCACTTGAGGAAAAAGTTGTGATTTTCTGGTCTCAACAACTATGGAGAAGATGACCTAGGTAAAAGGTATAGCCTACTTAATAGTTTCATTTAAATAGGCCTTTATATTTTTTTAATTGTTTGATACTGAACAATAATTATTTTTTATCCTTATTGTAGTTGCCAGCTGATAGGCTATGTTTCAATTTGTTATTATCAATTTATTGGATAGAAAAATAAAATATTAATATTCAAAAAGAAATCATCAATAATAATGAATGTTCTTTTTAACAAGAAAGTGCCCAATCTAGTTTTAAATCAAAAGTTACCTCATAAAAGCAGTCTTAATTAAATGAATGAATGAGATTTTCATGTTATATGGGTGTATATTAATAGACATCTGAAAGATATTCTTAATCAATATTTAATTAGATATCCATAGGACATAAATACACCTCTAAAATGATCTTTAGACAAATGTATACCTTTTTAGATGTTGATCAGACATATAATTTCAAATATTTTATAAATGTTTAGATTAATGTCTTATAAATATTTAAAGAACTCTACAGATATCTTTGGATATAAATAAACATAAATATTAAAATAAATAAAATAATAACATAAATAAAATAGATCCATCAGACATTCTGTGCTATCTGGGTTAGGAAGGCTTGTGCCATTTTATGTAAATTTGTATTTCCTGTTTATTCCCTCCTGAATTCCCACCAATATCCCACTATTACCCCATTGCATCTCATAACCATCATATTAACCACCCTGAGTTCTCCATCACTATTTCTCTCCAGCTACACAATTATATAGTAAAGAGAATTCAAACAGTTTATAAACAAAAATGTTGGTCCCCAATGTCATACATGACTAGATATCAACATAATTATCAAAGTTAATGTTAACTAAAACTTTTAATTTCTTCTTCTCAAATTTTTTTGCCATATTCAATATAAAATATTGGTAAATATTAATTTAATTCATATGAAATAAGTTGGAGGAATAAATCTTATATTGGTTTTTTTAACTATTCAGAAAACATGAACATTTACTTTATAGTCTCACAATGTATTGTAAAATTTACTGTCTTCCTCTGTTGAACTGATCTTTAACAACAAAGGGATATATTCTGTGCTAATTAAAATGTTTTCACACCTTTCAATTGAAAAATAGTTAGGACCTATAAAATCTAATACATGAAAGTCATTAACTAAATTTAGACACTCTAGTGAGGTTAATGCTAAATCTATTACCAATAAACCATTTTATTTTATAAATGTTAATTTACCACTAATATCAGAGGGTGTGTAGCCATTTAAAACTGTTAAGTTATAATTATCACAAAACTTTAGCACTTTCTTGCACCCCTGATGAGTTGCACCTTGGTTTTCAACGTCCTGTAGCTGTGGTGTTGTCACTGGACCCATACCAAGAAGGTGATATGTCTGACTATAATTATTTTACTCTCTTCACACCTTTAGTCATGGTGCATCAAAGTGTAAGTTTAGAATATAATCTTTCTAAAGGTATACAGATTATTTTATAACCAAAACCTTACAAAATGTGACTATTATAGTTGCACTACAAGTTGGAGGGTTAAGCTTTAATTTTCAAAAAGTCTAGCAGCTTATGTTAGAATTCTAAACTAGCTTTTGATTAAATCCATTTGCTTAAAATAACAAATGTAAACATTTATAACACAAGACCCAAATTTAACATGCATAGATACATTCAAAAATACCCATGAACTTTTAAAAAATTAATGTACAGTTGAATTTTTTTAGCTATAAGCAGTTGAGGTGAACCTATTTGGCTGTAGTGGATCATGTGTTTATTTACATCCGTTTCAATTGCGGATTACTCCTTTCCAATGCGCATGTGCAAACAAACTGTTCCATGGGAGCTGTGACAAGCGTTAGATGGATAGAACAGAACCGGTTTCGGTTAACCTCTCTTTGTTCTCCAAAGTCAACTCACTCACTAACTCTTTGTCTGATTCTACTTTACCACCACCACTACCCTCCTAGGCTTGGCTTCCTCCTCCTTGTTCTTAGCAGAGCCTTAGTTGGCAAGTCAAAACGGAGTAAACATAGGTAACTAATATTCTGAAATTAACAGCTAGACTGAAACCACCTATTAGGTCAGGCCAACTTCATCTCTGTGTTACAAGGAACCTAATTTCTCACATTCCTTTTTATTATTCAAAAAGCTTCATACAGTACTGGCCCTAATCACTACTTTATAAACAAGAGTGTTATTTACTTTATTCAGGCCTAAAGACCCAAACAATGTGAAGCAAAGGGCTTAGTTTCAGCACAAACTAAAAAATAAGTATCAATTGATTTGTAAATAATACTTAACTGGCATGGTATAACTTATATAATATTCGTTTCCATATTTTGAGATAAGCCTAGACTAGATTAGTTTACACCAATTAATCCATTAAAGTTCCAAGTTTAATTTGTAATCTATGTCTAGCTTTCAAATACATTACTGTAAAGTTTTTATTGAGACCTCACTAGATCCATAATTTTGAATTGTAATATAGCTGACTCAGAACATGGCGAGTTCAAAGTACAGTAGATTCTTTCAAACCAAGGCAGCAACTAAGGATAGTAAGTCAATATTAAAATTATTGAGATTTTAGAGGAGGGTTAAAATTATTGAGATTTTAGAGGAGGGAAGTTAGAAGGGTGCATAGATAGATATAGGTTAAAATAAGCAAAACAAGTAATAATGCTTTGGGCAACTCACCTACTTGTTCTGCCTAAGTACAATAACAATATATCATTGTATTATGCATAAAAAAGACTTTGTTATGTGTATCGGCATATTAACAAAAACACCATCTGTGATGTGGGGGGAGGACTTGCACATTAGATATTGAGAGATATCCACAACAAATAAAACCAAACCAACAGATGAGCAAGAACCAGGAAGTAGACTAAATAAAAACAAAGCACATACTAATTGGTAAAAGTAACAACCTGTCCTGTGTGCTATATCACGCTATATTCAATTCATTGTAAACGTTGTAACAGATAAATCTCAAATCTGATATCACAGAACTACAGAATAGTTTACTTGCACATGTGCATTATGAGAAGAGTAATCTGCGATTGAAACGGATGTGTTTATTTGTGTCAAATTTTGAGGTTAAAAAATCAAAATAAACAAACTGGCATATATTCTTGGAATTGACAAGTTAAATATACTTTAAACTTACTCCAGCCTAATATGTTTTTATAAAAATACCTAGCAATTTAGATATAATTTACTGTTATAGACATGATTTCTAATTCCAAATCAACTAATGAATAAGTTGTTACCATACTTAATTATTGTTTCAAATTATAGGTGATAATTACTTTGAAAACAGTTAATTATATAGTAAATTATATGAGTAGGCCCTAAATATTAAAATATTGAATCTTGTTGCATAAGTTAACTTGCATAAAATAACTGTTGAGATATACAGTAATGATGATTTATGTTTAGTTTTGAGATCTCTTATCATCTCATCTCAATAGACCTACATTTTGGGATCCAAGTTAGGGACCAGACTTAAATAATCTTAAGATGACGAGATAAATCTTTATAGACTAAGTTTTTGACCCATTTATACAGGGTGACACAAAGGAAC